AGTCAGTATTGAAGTGAACTACTCTGCGCCCTATTTGCACACCACTTAAAGTGACACTTACATTTTCCATCTCTTCAAAAATCCCATAATCAGAAATGTGCCAAATTCACAGTGACTTCGGATGAAGTTATTCGTTCCATCGTCTCCCATTTAAAGCCCTGCGTATTTGACGCTGCAGTTGTTTGAGGATAGACATCCTCTTCACATTTTCTCTCCACACACACACACACACACACACACACACACACACACTCACACACTTTCCGTTTCACCCTGCTCTGAACCCGTTCTCCGTCCACCGTGCAGAAAGCTAAATAAACATATGTGGCGAGTCATTCCCAGAGTGCCCCCTCTACCACCACCACCACAGCCGCTCAACCTACCGGCCCACCACCCTTTACACCCCCTGCAACCCCCTTTTCCCCTCCTGAACCCCTCCACCTCCATCCAGCCCCTCTTCTACACTCAGGTTTCACCTCTCAGCTTCCTGCTGCTCCCAGTCACGCTGACACACACTCTTACACTCAACCTATTGACTGTTGGAGGAGCAGCGGTGGAAGAAGTACTCTTATTATTTACTTAAGTTAAAGCAGCAATACCATGATGTAAGAAATACTCCACTACAAGCAAAGATCCAGCATCCAAAATTATACTTAAATGTGCTTGAAATATAAAAAGTAAAAATACTCCTTATGATCTTTTGGGGAGGTTTATCTTAATGTATTATATATTAGATTATTGGACTATTATTAGCTGTCAAACAAATGTGGTGGAGCAACAGGTACAATATCTAACTTTGATAGTTACTCTTATAGTTTGCAATTTAACTGAAACTGACTCTCAGAAATCATTCAGACTTAAAGATCTTGTTTTATTCTTTTCAAACTTCCATGATTCAGGAGTCAAACCATTACAGCTTTATTTTTTTCATACTGGATTTGTCTTATTTTACCAACCCTGCTTCACAAATGCTGAAAAATCTGACAATAAAACACCTGGAGCTGCAATACAAGTTGGCTTTATGTCTCGTAATTCAGAAGAAAATGTATTATTTTTCTGTCTGAATATGACATTAAGTAAATCGAGTAAGAAGTAAGTAACTTTTTTTCTTTTTTATGCAGCGTGTGCACGTGTGTGTGCATGTGGATCCACGGCGCTGCGCCGACTTTCAGGGTCAATTCAATCTCAGTTCAGGAGGTGAACGGAAATTCCAATTCAGCTGCGAGCATTTCACATTTCATACCTGGAAGCTGAAGCTAAGGGCCACTTCAGGATCACTTAAAGGGTCGCACTCCCCCTTCCTGCACAAATGTCAGACAGACAGACAGACAGACAGACAGACAGACAGACAGACAGACAGACAGACAGACAGACAGACAGACAGATAGATAGATACAGCAGAGACACTTCCTCTCTCTCTCTCTCTCTCTCTCTCTCTCTGGCAGCGGGCTGGGGTCGCAGGAATACTTTCTGTCAGCAGTGTGACAGCTGTGTACATCTGGTTGTGTAGGGGCCTCTTACAGCTCAATCCACACGTCGTTTCGCCGGTGTCTGGGCCTCCGGACTCGCTGCCACTGCTCACCTCATTACTGACCGAGCCACACCTCCATCTGTCCCCTTAATATCTAAATCCTGCTGCAGATTAGTGGGGGAGTCAGGGCCCGGAGGAGGGGAGGATGGGAGGAGGGGAAGAGGGGAAACAAGATCCAGGAGGAAGGGTCTGTGCGTGGCACATGAGGTTTTTTTAATGATCTCTAGGGTTGTGTGGTGATGGTGGTGGTGGTGGTCGCCTTGTGATGTGTTTGGTGGGTGTTGGTGGGGTACGGTGTGGGATAGACTGGTGGGGGCTTTGGGGGTCGGATCATAGGCACCAGGGTGGCATGTGCTTGCTTCTTGCGCTTTGTGGATCTTTGGCATGGTTGGGGCTTGTCACTACTGGTACTTTATGGTGGCATGTTTGTGGTTGAGGGGAGACAACAGAGCCAGGACCAGATGACCGGATAGATGAGACATATGACAGTCGTTACCGAACACCTGATGACATCATATGAATCTCATTACCAACCCCCCTCCCAACACACACAACGACACACCAATCACACACACACACACACACAATGATGATCTATAATGTGAAAAGTTTATGTTCTTCTCAAAATGAATGAAGCTCAGTTTTAAGTAAATCTTCCTTTAAATGTTCATCTTCATATGTACTTTTTGTGTTGAACCCTAAAGAATAAGTCAGCTGATATTCTGTTTATTATGTTTTTCTCTTTCAAAACCCTTTAAATACCAAAACAATAAATTGATCTTTACGATAAAATAAACCTGTGGAGGTTTATTCCTCTGTGTCATAGAGCTTCATTGTCTAAAACCTATTAAAAATACAACAGTGAGTCACACTGTTGCACTGTTTCATCATTTACAATGAACATGGACAGTGCAGTTTCTTCCCACATATACTATTGACTGAAACTAGTCAGTCAAATAAATACACTATTTACTCCTGTTTGAGAAAGATTTGCTACAGAACTACAGTGCCCAGCTGTTTTGGGGAGATTAATTTGCTATTAATTTGCTAAAATATATATATATATTTTTTTTTACCTGTTTTTAAAGATTTACATCATCAGTAGAAGTGAATAGGCTTCGGATCTGAGAGCTACAGAGGGAAGTCAGAAAGTGTTGAGAGACGGAGGGAGTTGTAGAGCATAAAAATATAGAATGATGCTTTAATCATCGGAAGGATTGGTTCACATTGAAATGATTAAAGTCAGGGTGACACTTTGGTCCTTTATATGGAACTTGATGACTGATCAGAAGTGCCTTTTTGTATTATTAATAACACCTTATTTAAGTGTTTACTTGTACTAGAAGAGGATGTTTTTCTAGTGTTTATACATCGGAAAATGTCTGTATCAAAAGGTGATAACTGGTTCACAAAACAATCTCACCTCAAGGTCCACATAGTTTATACCAATAATTGTGGTTATATAAATCTAAAATGAAAAAATCCAAAGACAAAAACAAAATTCCACCAACTCCGGGTGTGTTGTTATTAAAGTGATGATACATGTACATATACAGTACCAGTCCTGTAATAAATGAAAATACAAATTCAATCACTGTTTGAATTTGCAGTAGCTTTATTTAAAATCTACTAATTTAATGTTAATGTCAATGTTAACATGAACTATGTTAAAAACAAATATCTTTTAATTTGGAAGCATCCCTTTTTTAAAAAAAAAAGAAAAAAAGATAGGAACCTCTTGGTATTAATTTGAAAAACCCGCTATAGGAGCAAAGTCTTAGACAAACACTTCCTGTGAGGATTAGTCATTCTCAACTTTAGCTCCATATCTTTTGCTGGTGAACACCTGGATTGGACGTGACTATGAAACAAAGACAACACGTGGTTCAGTTTTTATGTATCAATGTTAAACACAGTGTTTAAGCTTTGTTAAGCGCAAATTTATATATATATATATATATATATATATATATTAAAAAAGTATCTCTACCGTTCAAGAACCTTTTGAACTGCATAACTCACTGCAGCAAGAGGTTGACAGTTTTATCTGTTTCACTTTCAACACTGTCAGACATTGTGTCAGTTTTTAAGATGAAACAAACCACTTTCATCAGCAAGTTGAGCTGAGGCTAAAACACCTTCATGTAATTATAATGCATGGATGGTGGTTTGCACCCTCTCTTATGTCCTATATTTGAAAGTACACATTTTTCTCAATCTTATGAAATAAAAAATGAAAAAATTAATGCATTACAAATTTTCTGCTAATGAAAATATATTCTTTCTTTTTTTGTTTCTAAATTTAAATTACAAAATGTCATCTTAATTTGTCATACAAGTCAATAATTCAAAAGGTAGACGGTTTTATTTTCCTGTATTTATTAGATTACATAAAATCACCAGTAGGTTGTGTTGGGGAAAGAACAGATTATAAATGAGTATTAATTATTATATAAATATGTTTTCTTTTTGTTTTTTTGTTTGTTTGTTTTTTGTCACACCCTACACACTTTTGGTGTTAAATAGGGAAGAGTTCAAAACAAATCTGTGGGCAGATGATAATGTTTTGAGAGACATAAAATGTACTATGTAGTGTAGAATGTGTTTTTCTTCATAAGAAGAGCGTGTAACTTCTTATCATCCAGACAGATTATACAGCTATCAGCCAACTCAAGAACACACTGTGATGACAAGTTAGGAATGTGTCTCGGCTGCACAGAGTTAGTCCACATATCAAAGATAGACTCTCTGACTTTAATACAAACATACAAATATGTTTAAATGGGGATTATGTCTCTCGCTATCCTCACAGAGAGCAATATACTTCACTACAGGATCGTCTTGTAGCAAAGGCGTTACATGTTTCCAATATAAATGGTAGTATATTGCCACCTGGTGATCAAAGTAGCATTTCAATTTAAGTTTTCTTTTATATTTCTTTTATTTCTTTAAATAAGATTTTATATCATTATTACTACATTATTATTTCAATAAATATATTTCATTATGGCATGATAGGAACTATAGGAATCTGGTTCAAAACACAATCACATTTTAAACAATTAATGTTAAAGGTCAAATAATTTTTTTGTTTTTCTTTTAGATATTTTTATTATTACTTCACAGTTATTATTTGTTTTCTTTTTTGGTGCTATGAATCTCTGTGTGAACTTTAAAAAAAAAAAAAAAAAAAATTATTACATAAAATGTTTGTTCGTCTCATGTTGAAAAAGGACCTTTGCTTATAAAAAGAGCCACGGATAGAAGTGCAGAGCAGCAGCCTGTTAAAAAACTTGTTTGGTCTAATGCACTGCAGATAAAATGGCCCGTGAGAAGCCGTGGGAAAGTAAAATAAACAAATGAAAGGTTGAGGCTGCACACACGAAAAACACACTACATATCCCATGACCGCGTAGCTGTTCCACTGTGAGGTGAAAGGTCAGGTCGCCTTGATGAGGTAATAACAAACATGGCGGCGCTCGGTACGGCACGGTGCGTGTTCCGGAGCTACTCCCGGGTGAAAAATGTCCAGAAAAGCAAACAAATAATGGTCAGGTGTAACGTGAGGACGCTGTGTAGTGGGACACAAGACAACGGTATGTTTTAATGCTGTGAATGTCATTTTATTTGAATTTCTTTCCTAACTATAACACTGACCTTGCAGCATGTTTCGCTAGCCTCCATACTCGACCTGCGGATGTCAAACTCCCATCACATATCTGAGTAGTTTAATCTTGAATAAGCTTTTTGGCAGAAATACAGACGTTATAGAAAATGTTTAACCCATTTAAATATTTACGGTCTTTTTATTAAAGGTTTTAATCGTACGAGTTGTTGTTTTACTTTGGATGCCTGCCGTATTGAAAAAGCAGAGCGGTATAATCTGTATGTTATGTTTTATCTGCTGTTACTGTAGCTTTTCGTTGACAAAGAAGACAGCTACAGCTAAATATGGCAATATTTGTGAGGAGTTTGGTTGGTGCAGCACAGGTTTCTTGTAAATGTAACCCATTCCAGTCCAAGTCTTGACCTTACAGAGTTGTGCTAACAGGAAACAATGTTAGCTAGTTTTAAGTTAGCTAGGCTGGTATCATCGATTGTAAACATTTCTGGGTGTGTAGTTTGCACAAACCGTTAACTAGTGTAATTTTCTCCACAGCTGTCTCAGACCATGCAAAGCCCCAGTTCACAGACCCAGCTGTGCAGGACGTCCTCTCCAGGATAACAGGCGTGGACCTGCAGAAAGTGTTCCAGCCCATTAAACAGGAGCTGAAGCCGCCCACATATAAACTCATGACTGATGAGCAACTGGAGCAGGTACTGTTTTAATAAACCACAATATCCTCTCTCAATCATGTACACATGTCACAGTAATTCTTGTGTCATCCGCTTACTTGTGTGTGTGTGTTTCCAGGCGGTCGAGGTGGCCAGAGAGCAGGCGAAGAAGCTGCTGCAGATGCCGCCCGTCCTGCCAGAGAGGAAGCCCATTGACGATGTGCTGTCTGAGGATAAGATCCTGGATGGCATGGACACAGCTAAATACGCCTTCACAGACATCACCTACAACATCCCACACAGGGTACACGCAGGTTGCTTTTGTTTTGTGTGCATGTGTGTAACTTGGGGTAAGATGGGTGATATCTTGATACACAACACAGTTAATGAGACAGTGCAACTTTTTATTGCATGAATGCTCTAGCATTTTAAATTGTGTTACAATTATATTACTCTGTCCCTCATCTTTACACATTACATGTGGTGTATGTTTTCAGGAGAGGTTCATTGTTGTACGGGAGCCTAACGGGACTCTCAGGAAGGCGAACTGGGAAGAGAGAGACCGGCTCATTCAGGTCTACTTTCCCAAGGATGGACGCAAGCTGACAGCGCCCCTCATCTTCAAGGAAGAGAACCTCAAGGTGAGGAATGGCTCTTATTACTTCCTTCCTGCTAAATTACTGAAACAGTATCAGCTCATGTCTGTTATGTTTCCTGCTATAAAATCCGGCTATAAGGTTATTTCACAGCAGACATTTTGACAGGTTATAGTAGGACAACCACACTGGTTAGTAATCATATCAATGATGACTCTGTTCTGTTCAGGTCTGACAGTGAGCTAGCAGACACTTTACCTGCATCCTGAAACTGAGGCAGTTAAATGAAAGTCAGTCATTGTTAATGTTGCTGGTAATGCTCATGATTTTCCTGCTGTGACGTGTGAAAGTGAAAAAAGCCACATGTTTGTAGTTATGAGCTGTTTGATATGTCATAGCAGGAAAAGCATAAGTGTAATTAATTAACATTCATTGTGACTGAATTATATTTATGTCGGCCAATTACAGGGCGTTGGTTCATGCTGGATCATTGATATGACACTTAAATTGAACAGAGCTCTCATTAGTGTGATTAATAACACCTGTTATGTTTCTTGCTTTGACGTCACCTTCCTCACCAACCTCAACAGGTCGGTTTCCTTCCACCACTTTTTATCTGCGTTCTCAATTTGCAAATTGAAAACCTGAGTGGAAAGACAGACAATTTAAAAACAAAAAAAAGTCCCAAAATATAAAAAGTTTTTACGCTTGGTCAGGAGGAAACGTTGGTGTATTGATAAAGTCAAAATGTGAATGCAAGCTTCCACTGAAGAGACTGAAAAGAGTGGGAGAAAACATCAGATCTGTGTGGAGCGATAATGACACTGTTAATGTTCCTTAAATTAATACATGAAACCAACATAAATGCCATATTACCATCATGTTTTCTACTTTTAATTACGTCATCTTGTTGCAGTGTCCTGCTCTTCTGCAATGAGTTTAATGGGCTCATTTGTTAAGGCTGCGCTCTGTGAAATGCTGACTTAAGATGGTCCACGCTGGACTTAAAACAATGCATGCTGGTTCGAAAAGTTTTGTCCAACTTTTGCTGGCGCTGCAGAACGTCAACATTTTTACATGAAATCACAAACTTGCAGGAGTAAAGTGGTTGCAGTTTAATGAGTCAGGCTCTGCAGTTGTTCTCCTCCAGCTGACACTCATGACTTCTGGTATATTCTTATTAAAAACCTCTGATCAGTTATCACCTGTGATTATCTCTCCTAAAGCAGTTTATTTGATCTCCTTCTTCTGGCATCTCATTTTGTACATATGGGCACCAACACTATAGTTTAAAGCAGCGAGAAAGCTGTGATAACAACTTAGTTTGTTATCGTAAAAGGCTCTTGTAGGTCATATATTTATCCTTAAGATTTTATTTTCACCCTCCTGGCAACATGGTGGCCCTTCTTTCTTTTGTTACTATTCTGTTTTGCAAAACACTCCGACATATTGAGGGTAACGCTCATATTTTTTAAATTAAAAACAACCACAGAACAGCTGTACACGCTGTGAGATGTTGTCATGAGCTCACTCACGCTACGAGGAGCAGAATGTGTCCGACTTGATGGCGGTCTTTTTATTCTCCACGCCTGCAGTCACCAGCTGGTCATGTTGACCATCAAGTCAGGCAAAGTCGAAAAGGAACGCAACTGACGTCACCGGACTGGGGAATTAGAACCACCAGCTGTTTATCTGGACAAATCTGCTCCTAATATTCACATAATAGCAGTGGATGGAAACCTGCATTAATTTGCATTTTCTTTGCAGAATTTTTCAATGTTTTGTTAGAATTTACATTTGGATGGAAACCCATGGATAGACTCACTGCTCTGAATGAATAGAGGTGAAATACAGGTGAAAACAACATCCGCAAGTAGTGAAGATTATCAGCATCATCACAAGTGTAGCTGAAATATATTTTTATTCTAGCATAGACATATTACTAACATGAGATTGAAGATGTAGATCATCTTTACACTTAGTACTTTAGCACTACTATGAGATAGTATGGGAGCTCTTCCAAGTGTCCCTGGAACTACCCCTTATGTGACTGTGCGTGTATGGTAGTAACACGCTATATGTGTAGGGAAAGAACTGTATGAATGTGTTAGTGTGAATGGGTGAATTTAGCTTCCATTGTAAAGCTCTTTGAGTGCTCGATAAGACTGCAAGAGTGCTGTATATAAATGCAGTCTGTTTACCATATGTGAGACAAAATGCTGCAGCGGCGCGCACCGTAGGCAACGACCATACATCTAGATAAGGTGTTTACATGCCATAGTATGTCTAGTGCTAAGGGATAACTTGGCTTTTAATTAATTCTCTCATATTTTACTATTCAGTTTTTTTCGCCCTTTATTTTATTGTACTACAAGATTTTTTATTGTAAAGCACTTTGAGCTACATCTCTTGTATGAATGGTGCTCTATAAATAACGTTCTTTATTATTATTATTATTATTATAAGAGCTAATGCATTTTTTTGACCGGGACCAGGTTGGGATATTTTCAAGCACAAGGATATAACCAGAATATTGCATATAATACAATTTAATGATGGAGGTATAAGCCGTCCTCCATGACCATGGGGGGGGGGGGCGCAAAGGCAAAGGTGTGAGGTCTGTGAACACCCATGCAGTCCACAGAGAAAAGGTCTAATCAGGCAGAATATATAAGTGAAAGTGTGTGTGTGTGTGTGTTCGTTCAGTGAGTGTCTAAAAAGTTCATTCATACTTCTGTCTCTCTCTCTGTTAGATGGTGTTTTCCCAGGACCGGCATGCGGATGTGTTGGACCTGTGTCTGGTCCAATTTGAACCAGACTCTTCAGAATACATCAGGGTAAAGATGACATTGGACTTCTTGTTATTTTGACCTGATCAGCAACTGCACTGAAATCTGTAGAATCTATACAGTCTGTTAAACCGTGAAATTTGTGCTGAATGTCTGTAACCAGGAGAAAATCACCATGAAGTCTGTAATGAAACTCCTCCTTTGTATGTTCCTCGTGTTCAGGTTCACGCAGCCACCTACGAGGACGTGGACAAGCACGGCAAATACGAGCTGCTGCGCTCCACCAGACACTTTGGAGGAATGGCCTGGTACCTGGTCAACGCTCGCAGGGTCGACGGGCTCATAGTAGACATGCTGAAGAAAGAGCTGTGAGTTTGTCTGTTGTGTGACAATGATGCCAGACTGTTTTTATAACTGATGCTAAACTAGTTTTTCTCACTGCTTTTAACCTGAGTTTAAATTGAGCCAGGTCACACCACCGTGGCTGTACCTGCTGGCAAAGAGCTCTGACCTAAACCCCCGGTGTGTCCGTCCCCCTCCAGGCTCCAGGATGCCGTGAGTCTAGTGTCTCTGTTCCACATGGTCCACCCCCACAGTGAGTCAGCCCAGGAAGCTGCCAGCCAGCAGGCCACTGGCACCGACCTGATTAAGGTGAGAACAGCTCAACCCTGAACAGAAATATCTGCTGACTCCCCTTTTTGCACGTTTATTCACTGTATAGAAAACATTGCCATCTGATTCTGAAATTGTCCAGGTCATATGAGTTGTGTCCCCGAGGCATTAGGGCACATCAGGAGTCAGCGTTGCTCTTGAGGGGTCGAGTCAAGGCCGGCTCATCTAAGGTTTCCTGCATGAGAGGCTTGGGTTTTTCTCCAGCGTGAGAACTGGGGGGCCAGACTCAGGACACATCAGGTCTTATTAGCGCTCACGGCCCCTTGGCCTTGAAGCAGTAGGGAGGGACATTAAGAATGACAGCCATTTAATGTGAAAGGTTAGCAGCAGGAGACACGGGTGTGTGAATGCCTGCTACAGTCAAGAACTCATTTAGTCACGGTTGACTTTCTAAGCAGCGTTTTTTTTTTTTAAGTTTGCCACTAAAACAATTAATTGGAACATTTTTATGCACAGCCTCAGCTTCAATGTAATTGGGGTGACCTTTTTCTCCCTCTCCATTTTGCTAACCTCTGACCCTCGTCCCTGCAGATCTACGCCCAGAAGGAGTCCCAGAGGTCGGGCTACATTGAGCTGGCGCTGCAGGCATATGAACAGACAGCTGCTGAAGGCTCTGCCGCCTGACGGACACACTCCTTCATAGAAATACACAAATTCATTCACAAGGAGGACCGGTAACCACATCCTGAAGGACAAACTGAAAACTGCGCCCCAGATTTAAGGCATGACAACATTTACTGTTCTGTCACTGTTTGTGCTGAAGAGTAACAAGGAAAGCTACGCCTGTCACAGCCATCGATTTGAAGAGCTAGCTGTGAAACATCTTGTACGATACACAAAGTTTGTGTTTTAGTCATGTAGACAGATGATCTGTATGTGTTTGGAGCTCTGAGTCAAACAATGTACATAACAAAGCAAGGTCTTTGTACTCGTTGGATGTGTTGTTGGAGTAAAACAGCTTCAGTTCTGGATAACACAGAAGATTTGTATTTAATTCACTTTTCAGGTCTACGTACAGAGTCCCATTGCAGTTTACTGGATAACCTAAAAGCAGCAGTTGTGTGTTGATCCTGGCTTTGAGAGGGAAACATGCACCAGGATAATAAGATGTCACATAGTGTATAATAATAATAAGAAGGTAACAGACATTGAGTAGAACCAATTAGCAGATTTGTCTTAGTCCTCGCTTGTTCAACACTTTTGAATATGTTCTTTATAAAAAAAAAATATGTGGCATTTGGAAAACACAGGCAGCCCTGTCCCAGATAGAAATCCAACATAATGCTCTAATTAGCAAAGGTCCAGCACTTGTGAGAAAAATAAATTCCTCACTGGCTTCGATAGCACCCTGATCAACAGAGGTGTAATATGAGGTATGAGGAAGAAGAAGAGGTACTGAGTCATTTTAGTTACTTTTCATGAAGACGTGCAGTCGGCTGGTAGAGCTCGTGGCACCGAGGAATGAGGAAGATTCTACCTTTTTTAATTTTTGTTTAACTGTAAACTGGTTTTTACATCTAAAGAGTACTTTTGATATAGGAGATTTAACACAAAATGTAAAGATTGGAGCAAAATTGTTCAAATGTGTAGTGTAAACAAAGCAAAGCAAATAAGCCTCTGTTGGAAATTTTACAATGTTCCACATCCCATACTTCACATACATACAAACATTTCTCCTTAAACCCATTCACTTCTCTTTCCCCTTAACCACATTTAGAAAAGGCACGTAACACTGAGCGAATCCGTAGCTGAAATAAAGACAAACTACAGATTAATCTGAAGTTCTACCAGATGTCTTGAAGGTTTTCGTCCTTCAGTAACACAAATCTTGTGGGAATCATGGAATGGTACATCTCAAATATATATGACTACTTCAGCCCTCAACTAAAAAACAACAACAAAAAAATGCTTGTTAATTAAGCTTAACAAAGGTACTTTAATCTGCTGGTGTCTAATAGTGGTCCTGGACTACAGCCCTTTGTGTTGTTTGGTCACAGTAAAACAGGAAAGTCCACCTCTTCCTATTCGCTCAAGAAATCATCATCCAGGTTGACGTCTGTGGTGTCTATTTCTTCCAAGTCAAAATTGTCCAGATCCAGATCATCCAGGACCTGGGAGTAGAAAATATTCACAGGTGGAGGTCAGGAGGTGTGGTGTTTTGATTTTGTTTACATATACATACAGTTATATGTTTAATATTCCCAATATTAGGGAATGTTTGCCACAGACTTAAAAACTTTACCTCCTCAGTCATCTCTTCGTCAAGGTCCTCTGCTGGGTCTTTAGCTCCCCCAGGAGCCGTCTCCTGCTCCGCTATGTTCTTCTCTGTGGGAGCTACTGGGAGTAAAACCTCTGGCTCAGCCTGCAGAGGCACAGGAGGCTCCAGGATCTCCTCAGGCTTTACTGGGAGTCCCTCTTGTTCTGGCTCTTGTGCTGGGTCTGGCTTTAATACTGGCATTGCATCTTCAAGTGGGTCTAGCAGTGGATCAAGGACAAACTCTGGAAAAGCTTGGACTTGGACCGGCACATCCAGCAGTGAGCTGTCTGTGTTTTCAAAGGAGATGAGCTCCTCCACTGCTACAGCTGATGGTGCCGTTTCCAAAACGAGTTCCTTAGTAACAGGAGGTCCTTCTGCTGCTGCTGGTGCATCTTTGATGGGTGGTGCATCTAAAGACATTACATCTTTTTCCAGCTTGTCATGATCAGGCATTTTTACGTTAGCATCAGCTGTTAATGCAGTGGTAACTAGAACATCCTCTGTTGCCATGGTTTTTGTTGCTACTGTCTCACCTGGTGCTTCTTCTGTTGCCATGATGGTTTCTATTGTTTCTATTGTCTCAGTAAGACATGTTTGAGAAACACAGGCAGTAGGAACAGCATCTGTTGCTGGAGACGTTTCCTGAACATCCTCCTCATCCGAAGATCTGACATCATCCACTGGTCTGGACTGTACCACCTCTGGCTCTTTGGGGGTAACCTCTATGGTGGACTCCTCCAAAACGTCTTCCTCCACAGAGAGTGAAGCCTCCTCAAATTTAGTGATGATGTCTTCCTTTATTGCTGCCACCTCCGGTTCAAATGCAGCCACCTCAACATGCTCTTGTGTTATGGCGACAGGAAGAGGGGAAGCTGCTGTTGGAAGTGATTCTTCTTCTACTGCTGAAACAAAAGCAGTGGTCTCCTGTTGTAATGGAACGGGCTCCTCTGCTGCTGCTGCTTCTGGAGGCACAGCTTCTGTTTCTGCTACTATGAAGCTTTCTTCCATGCTTTCCACTGCTTCCTGTTTATAGATCAAACAGAAATAACCGTTCCATTTTAAAGCAGCTTTACTCAGTAGTTTTATATTAACTGGTTATGACAACTTGCACATAAAGGGTCGCTTGTAATGATGAACCCACTGATTATTATCATCCAATTTTGCAGTTGGCGGTTTATAGCATCTTTCAGCTCACTGTTTTCATTTTCTGACACACTTTACTGTTTTGTTTTTTAAAGAAATATCTGGAGCTAAAAGATTTGCTGTAATATACATCTAGTATTGTTGGGTGACCAGAAACGCAACTCCATATGAATCCAAATGTTGCTCAGTATCTGCTGGGTGTGTGAATGGACAACAGATCGCTAACAATGACAGCTTTGTAAAGTGATAAAATGTCAGTGTTTTCTGTTGCTCCCAAGTGGCCAAAGAAGTCTGTTGTTGAAGGTTGAAGTAGTTTTGATTCAGCCTCCATTTAAGGCAAAACACTGAATAAATCAAATAAGATCTTCCTCCAACTGTTTCACATACAGATATTTATGCATTATGCATGAATTAATACATTACATTCCAGGCTTTATCTATCAAAGCAATGTCTCATGGTCATTCAGACAAAAGTGTCTTTTATGTTAAACTCTTTGTGACCTTATTCAAACATGACTTTATTTATAGAAAAAGAAACAATGCTTGTGCCATATTCGGCACCTGGGGCACAAGAGGGAGCAGTGGCACTGCTCAGAACACCTCAGGGCGTTAAGTTGCTCTTGCTGTATGTGTAGTGTTTGGAAATGTCATGCTGTTGGCAGGGATGAAAGTTATAAATATAGGGGTTAAAGAGAGGGGGAATCATTGTCATTGACCGATCTGACATAGTTTTTAATGCTGTATTGAGCTGGTTTTGTTTTCTTTGTGCATACAGTGCTCTTAGGATGTGGAACTTGATGTATGTACAGTCGCTCTCTGTGTATTTTACCTTGCCCTGCTGCAGCTGTTATGTTAATCTGACAACATTCAATTCAGACTTTTCAGAATTAGGCCAGACTTAGTAAGATTCCTGTTGTGGCTTATGAAAAATTGACTTCTGACATACGACCGACATTCAAACTTGCCATCACATTTATGTAAAGAGGCGCATGTCTGGAAGGGGCTGTGTGGAGATGCAGATTCTGGTCCTCACCTCTGGCTCACTGACCTCTTCTTCTGACGCAAAACGTGCAGATTCCTCCAGAACGTTTCGCTCCTCATTTGGCTGAAAAGCAGAGGAACAGGACAAATATCTGATAACGATCTCAAACAGGTATTTGATATTTGATTGGTGCTTTTAAAAAGGGGCTATATGTAATAGTCTCTGCTACTGAAAGTGGTTTCTTGCTGCGACCTGGTGGTGGTGATGGTCGTTTGCCAAGAGCTTCAGTCATCGTTACATTTACAAGATAAGAGGTTTTAATATCCCCCCCCCCCCCGAGAAACGCTTCTTGTTCCGGGCAGACTGGCGGCTACAGTGACTCGCTATTGAAAAATGATAAAACAGGCTGACTTGACCGAGGCTAGTAGGTTAGCATGCTAACTTCAGCTGCAGAAAAGACGTGGTTGAAATAGAAGCAAAATGAGATTAAACATTGGCGTTGCTTTCCACCTCTGGAGACAGCTCTTGGCGAGCAAAGGAATGAAGTTTGATGCTGAACTCGCAACGTTTCTTAAAGACTGGTAATTTAACAGCTGTCAATGCTAATGTTGGCTATGTAGCAAGAGTAAAACAAATTTAGTATGGACAGCAATACATAATTTGAGAAAAGGTCCCAATTCAACAACTGTGCACATTTTTATAGCAGTACACTCCTTGATGTGATAAAGTTTTATAGTTCCTCTGACGTCCACTGACCATGATGAGTGGGTATTCTGCGGCAGGTCTGACCCTGACATGAGTCTCCTTCAGGTACTGCTCAGCCTGCAGGGCTTGCTGGAGGCCAGGGAACAGGTTGCTGTACTGGATGGGGTCAGCCAGAGCATCTGCTGCCTTCTGGTTGACCTTGGACAGACTCTCCTTCCACAGCTTAACCACCCTGGAGGAGGAGAAGTGTATACCGCTCACCAGTGATGCATAATGTAAACACACACAGAGAGATGCGTATTCCCATTGTCAAAGGTTTCAGGAACTGCATCATTTTTTTTTTTTTTCGACCGATTTTGAGCTTTTAAAAGTTTTATCCTCTGGGAAACAAACACAGGTATTTATTAGTGGTAGATACAGAAGTTCTCCAGAACGGATTCAGATATATGATTCATGTATGTACACAGACACAGCCAGTACCTTGACACATGGCTGGGCAGATATGTTCTTGCCAGGAATGCAGCCTCTGGCAACCGATCTGTTTTGATGAGAAGGTCCAGACATTTGTCCAATCTGGACAAACACACAAAAATAGCATTGACAAAAATAAATAAAATATAAACAAGTTCAAACAGCTCCTCTCCCCATCCACTTCTCAGATACTCGCCTTCCTTGCATGAAGTAGGTGAGGAAGGCCACATTGGTCTTCCCATCCTTCTCTGCCCCTTCGGCTAGTTTGCCCACCATGTCTGTGTTGCCTGAGGCAGTGGCCAGCAGCAATAATCCCCCATAATCCTGAGCTTGGTGCAGACACTCCTGGGCCAGGCTAAACTGGCACTTTGTAGTAGCAAGCTCTGCCAGCTGCTTCCATTTCTGCTCTGACTGGAGCCCCCACATGTCAAAGTGCCAAAGAGACAGAAGAGAGGATTATCACAACACAACAATACACTGTGAAGCAGTTACTCAGTATGAGATGCCAGGGTTGTGACTCACCCTGTCAGACTTGTAGAGGAAGAATGACTGATTCTATACACATTATCCTGCATATTACATAGCTACTGATGAAAGAAAGTCATTGAAAACGAAACAGCGAAGCTATTAAGTAAGAATTTGCTCAAACATGATGATGCATTTAAGTGTCATTCTTCAGTTCTCAACAACACTTAACATTAAGAGCATATTTATCTCCTTGACATTTGCATTTGTATAGCTTTTATTCATGCTAGCAGCAGGGCTCTAGGGATGGTCATGGATCGCAATAAAACTGTAAAGACATTATTGGTCCCCAGAGGGTAAACCCTAAGAACTTTGGTGATTCCCTGACCTTTGGATGGATGGGTTTTTTTGAGTGGGCTTTTGGTTAGACGGCTGAAATAAGGTCAAGTTAACTAACACAAGCTCAAGACATTTTATTGATTTATTCTACAACATAAAATACACCAGTAAATACCCCAGTCATGATTTCTTTAAGCTTTTACATCTCTTAAAAAAGGCTGGGTGCTAACAAGGGTCTAAATGAGACTGCAGAGGTTGTTGCAGACGTGAAAATGTCATCACACCAAACACGAAAACCGATCTACTCATCAGTCCACCTTCACATAAACTTAAGCTTTTGTAGACTGTTACTAACTTTCTAAGAGGAAAGCCTTTTCTGGAATAGGAAAGCACTGAATCAAACTTCAAGTTGAAGTTTAGCGGTGGTGACATTGAAGTCATGCGAATGCGGTGTAGCTCGTTTATAGCCTTAATTGGCTTTTTACTTCTGGCGATTGTATTTAGGCTTAAAAAAATCATAAAAGTGGTTCATTTGTGAAGATTATCCTGCTGAACAAAATGTGTCAGTATCATAAACTTTTTTTTGTCAGAGTTTATTTTCTGCAGTAATCCAAAAGCCAATCGAAAAATCCCATTGATTTTTTGTCGAGGGAACCAGGGTGAGGCTAACTTCAAGGTTGACCTACAAAAACACTTCATCCCTGCAGCAGTGTGACTTTGTTGTTTCATGTTTTTCCACAGTAAATATGATGCCATCCCCATCAGCCTCAGCTGTACTTCTTGCATGATAACATACTTCACTAGTAAATATGGTAAACCTTAGAATTTGAGCATGTTGATGTTTGCACTGACCTCTGCCTCCAAGGCCAGTTGGTAGGCCATCTTGAGCTCTCCCAGCTGCAGAGCAAGTTCAAACTTGTGTTCTGGGTCTGTAGACACAGCCAGGGCCTGCTGTCTGAAGCCCTACACAACACAAGAAAACACACTATATGCATAAGCATTTTTATTTTATTTATTCTGCTCTGTAAAGCACAGTGGCCGACAGTGAAAGGTTAGATATGTGAAAAAGTGAAGTAGTAAGAGTGCGTGAGAAGCAAAACCATCCCCTGCATAAATATATTTTAAAATAAACACGCAAAAATTCTGCCAGGAGGTTTTACTCCATCTGGCTGCCTGATGTTCTGTAATTTATGCACCAAACCCTGAATTTATTGTCTTCTCAAGCAGAGAGAAACGGACATGGACTTCTAAGTGCAAAAGTTGGAAGACGGACATACTGTACCTGTTTCTCCAAGAAGTTGGCAACCCTGGTCCTTTGCTCCTTGGGGATTGTGGGTAGAACTTTGTCAGCTGTGCTAAAGTCCCTTCTCATGACGGCTGTCTGGTACTCCAGCACAGAAAGCAGCAGGGAGTAGCTGATGATGTTCAGCTCCTTGTCTCCAAGGTAGAGACGGTCGTCCTTGGGGATATAGCCCAGCAGATACATGGTCCTACACCAGAGAAAGACCAGTTTTAAGGAACCCGTTTGAGCATATTTTATGGTATTTCTAATTCATTGTGGATAGTATGAGAATGCTGGACGCCATGAGACAGCAAGGAGATTCATAGTCAGAGAATAGATTTTCTCTGCACGCCAAGGACTCGGCTGTAATGCTGATGATGGCTGAGGCACATTTGTTTTGTGCTGCTACCATACGCCATGAATAAACCATGACGGGTTTGCCAGTGCATCTTTGCTAATTTTACATTTATTAATGCATCTCGCCTGTCCATGTGAGCAATGGTGATGATCTCTCCCCCAACATAGTAGTTGAGTCTGTTAACAGAGCTGGTGTAGATGAAGCAGTCTCCCACCCATACTCCTGTCTTCACCACCTCCGGCACCTCCCCCAGCACCTAGTCAGCAAGAAAAAAACAAGAACGACAAAGAAAGACCTTTAAAAAAAACCTCCAGCATAATTCCTCTACAGACTATCTGCATTCTCCAGAAAGTCAAATTTCAAACAAGAAAACACCAAATGCTGGCAAAGGCATGAGCATGCAGCAGCTAGTAGACATTTTCTTCTGTGTTTTTAAAGATTACATTCTGCAAAAATGAATTATATCCTAGTGTATTTCTTAAAATACACTACATGCGTCTCTGACCTCGAAGGCGTCCTCTATGCCATCCTCAGACATGTCTTGCTTGGACTCCTGAGCTGCTGACACTTTCTCTGGCAGATAACGCAGCACAAAGAAAGACTCATCTGTAGCGATACACACCAGCTCTCCAGAGTCAGACCAGAAGATCTAAAGACAAGAGGAAGATTATAAGAAGCAATAGACAGAGTAATGGGAATGGTCACAGCCACGGGAGTGTGACTCACATGTTTTGGTTGGATCTCAATGCGGCGGACTAGTTCGGCACTCTCCCAGTCGTAGAAAGCTAGGCCGCTGTTTGACCTCACTCCCAGTAAGAAGCCGGCAAAGATACCTGTGGGACAGCATTACACACAAACACATTGTACACACACACATTCACACACAGATGTCTGTCAGATCAACAAATAGAATGGGAAATCAAACTCACCTTCAGCCCCAAAGTCAGGTTTAAAAACCTTCTTCTCTTTGAAGTTCTTAAAGATTTTGACCATACTGTTGCCCTCCCTTATGGCATACCTGTAAATATAATGTACACGGTTAGATATAATGCTGAGTTAATTATACTTGTAACATATATTGTAAAAGGAATAATTTGACTTTTTGAGACATACAAATCAATACCACTTTCATGTGTGTACAGTAAATATGAAGCTACAGTCAGCAGGCAATTAGCTCAGTTAGCTTAGCATAGCACAAAGACTGGAAGCGGGGGGAAATAGCTAGGTTAGCTCTCTCCCAAAAACACAACTACCAGCATCTCTAAAACTTTATACTTAACACGTTATGTCATTTGTTTGATCCCATGACAAACAGGGTAGCTGGTGGGCATTTCTTTGAACACTGGACAGAGCTAGGCTAACTCTTTCCTCCAGGTTCCAGTATTTATTCTAACCTAAGCTAGCTGAGCTAATTGCCTGCTGGCTGTAGGTTCATAAGTTACCATACAAACCATACAGACATGAGAGTAGTGTCAATCTTCTCATCCGGTGCCTCCCTAGAAAGCAAATAAATGTCAAATTGTTTCTTTAAGGTGTTTAAAGACTTACTGTGAGGAGTCATGTGCCCAGACAAACTCTTGAGCTGAGCCAAAGCTCTTGTTCCTCAGGGCCATGGCCGTGTAGATGATGTACTCGCCATCTCCACACACCACTACAAACCTGCAGATACACAAAGACACAACATGCACACATATATGGATATAAAATTATATTGAAATCTCAAACAAGGATGATACACACAATTCTGCACACCTTCTACCTGCACTAACCTGTGTCCTGGGATAGAAACATACCTACTGTACAGTCCAGGTTTCATTTGGACTTTATTCATGTGCTCATAACCAGTTGTGTGCATAAATGGATTTAGGAAAATTATCAAAGGTGTCAAATAAAAACCTTTACACACAATAAATTTCACTTGTAAAACTAAAGCCAAGGTCAAAGGAGTAGTTTTAGTAGTTTTACAAAACTGAGCAGTGGAAAATTTTTTGGAAGGCTGTCAATTAAACATCTCTAATAATAATCCAAACAGACAATAATGTTTTCATTAATTATTGTTTCCTTTCTCCGGCATACAGTAAGCGTGGGTAAAAGTGCTCTCAGGGGCAACTCAACACAGACCCACAGCGCGGTGTCTCACCTCCCGTTGGGGCTGTGCTGGATGGTCTGGGGGTAGATCTCGCAGCTGCCCATGTCTTTGACACCCAGCGCCAGCCTCTCTCCATCCCTCATCTCAGCCTCTCCCATTGCCTTCAGGTTGGCCTGCTGGACTTCGGAATGGCGAGCCCACATGACCTTCCCACTGGAGTCCATGGACATGGCGGGCTCCTCCCGACCCAGCTGAGACATACAGGAAGAGGAGAGATGAGGTGCCAGATATGAGAAAAAGGAAGAGAAAACGGTATTATAGAGGAATGTAATGATAGGGACCCGGTGGTTAAAGGAGGGGCACCTTTTTAATAACACAGGTCAGCAAATATTCCTTCGGCTTACACAATGCAATCTGCTCATAACATACACTCCAACTGACGCCATATTATTTGGCTGCACATAGCTGCTGTTGGGGATAAAGAGGTCATGCCCTCTATTTTCTCTGGGGATTTGTGGGTATTAACAACCTGAAGTGCTCTTTTTACAGTTTAAAATCAAATGTTAACGTTCAATTTTCTGTTAACAACAGATTACTGACATTATTTTCCAAGTCAGTGGCTGTCTATGACAGTCTTTTGGGCCCCAATGACAGAGTAGAGGCAGTATAGTAGCTCTATACTGTGGTTTCTAACATTTGCTATTGTTAAAAACTGCACCAGGCAGACAACACAACAAAACAGTATACCTTGATGATGATGCCGCCTTCATCATAGCCCAAAGCCACACTGTTGGAGCCAGGCTGGCCACATATACACCACACCCTCTCCATGCCATAGTTGAGTGTGTTCTCCAGTCGGTAGGTGTTGGAGTGCCACACTCGAACAGTGCCTAAGGAAACAAAGAGCTCACATTGAACTCACATTGAGGTGCTGAGCTGACTTTGGGTTGTTGTTTTGCTCTCTGTGTGTGTGTGTGTGTGTGTGTGTGTGTGCGTGCGTGCGTGCGTGCGTGTGTGTGTTTTTGTAGTTCTCACCATCCTCAGAGCCTGTGAGGATGATTGGCAGCTCGGGGTGGAAGCTGACGCAGGTCACGTTCTGGGCGTGACCCTCCAGAGTCTGAACGCAAGTTTTGTTCTGGTAAAGACACGCAGCACATACACTCATCATATGATGTCACGACCAGCACTGCATCTAAACTGCTCATGTGTGTATGTTATCTATATATAACACTGAATATCCCCAAACAGAATATGTGCACATGCTATCTGCTAGCACTGGAGTGTAGAGACATTAAATGCCAGCTCAACAATTAAGACACCTTTAGAAATCAGATATTCAGTTTTCAGAGCCATGTGAGGTTTGCTGGAAGATACGTACAGCTCAGTTATGGAATCAGATACTTAACATGGAAGAAAGCAGGCTCCCAGAAACATATTTATCTGAGATAAAGGAATGACTGGCTCTTAATCAAAATACGTGTGCACATTGTTCTACAACTGTGAGTGTGGTGAGGCATTTTTTAATACAGAGAAGATCAATATTTGTCTGTTCAGAGAATCCATGTTTGCTCAGAGTAAAGAACAGAGGGAAAACCATAACTGCATACACGTAGGAAGATATACTGTGAATATGGTAGTGAAAATGATGTTGTACATAATTTATCTGAAAAGCAAAGATTGTAATGTGCCCAGTTCTGATATTCTATCTCTTAATGTTGAAACTTGGCGGTTTGTCAGTCTGGAAAAAAAGTGGATTTGTTCAATGTAGTTTCTAAATAATAAAGAAACTCAGTTCCATTCTGTTTTCTATGGTTATTTTTTTTTACAGGGAACTGCGCAATACTTGTGTATTAAATTAAATACATAGTGTGTAGATGATACACAAATACTGAGATGGCTGATCAAACATGAAACGTTTAAATGATCCAGTTACCTGGAGAATCCTGGGAGATGACAAATAAACTTTAGGCTCATAGCAGTTCTTTTTAACGTGCGGTTCATTTGGCCTAATTATTTATTATTTTCTTCATTTGGACTTGAGCATATTGAAGTAATTATAATTTTACCGGGAGATGTATGTTTTTTAAATTAGCAGTGTATAACACGGCACAGAACTAAACACTGACTCACTAGCTAACAGCTCACTAGCTCACCTGATAATCCCAGATCTTGACAAGTCGATCGTCAGCCCCCGATATGAGGTACGGCTTGTCTCCTCCACTGTAGTAATCAATACAGTTCACTCCCTTCTCATGGCCCTCCAGAGTGAAGTTAGGAGTCCTGGAGCCCAGCTGCCACACCTACAACAGGCAGAGTGGAGATATGCTGAAAGGAAGTGTGTGTGGGAGTGTGTCTGAAAGAGAGCAACCAAGGACTGTCCATGTATTTTATGAGTTGTAGAGTGATTTCTATCAGTGTATCATTGTTATTTTGTAACTGTTGCAAGCAAATAAGGTCTTGGTCACGATGGTGGTAGTGTTTCTCCAGATTGAAACCACATTTCCCACAATCCCCGTTAATTCTGGCTGTCACTTTTACATTCATTTAAACAAGAAGAGCAACACTTTTCTTCTGTTTGTGCCCTGCAGCCATTTTCCTTTGTGTGCCTTTGCATGTGTGTGCGTGTATCTGTGTATGTGTGTCAACCTTAATAGTTCTGTCCAGAGAGGCGCTGGCAAACTGGTTGTTGTCTTTGGGGTTGATGACAATCTGCATGACATAGTGAGTGTGCCCCTCAAACACCTGACTGCATGCCCACTTTCTGTCCCAGTCCCACAGCTTGATCATCATGTCATCTGAAAACACACACACAAAACATGCTAATGAGTGTGTGCTGATGGTGCTGTACTTTTTGTGATTACGTGAGTGTGTGCAGTTCTTTCCTACCGCTGCTGGTGAGGATGTAGGGTTGCGTGGGGTGGACAGCGATACAGCGGATGTAGTCAGAGTGAGCCTCAAACATGTGGACTCTCTCCAGAGTGTTATAATTGAACACACGGATCTGCATATCATCCTGGGGAGGGACAAAGAGATTAACATATTTATCCACGAACAGAACACAAAAACAAAAACACACATTTTTCTGGCCATGCTCACTGTCTCCAACCAGCAGCACTGCACCAATTACCAATGGGTAACACCCGGCCCAAGACAGTGGGTTATTTTGACCCAGCTCAAGTTTTACCTTAAAATGATTGCAAATGTATTGTTACTTGTACAAAATGATGGGCACGACATTCAAAACTGAAAATTGGATCAATTTTGACCTAGAGCTGCACCTATCTTTGTGTATTCAAGCTTTCAAACGTTTTCCCATGTTGAAATGGCCGTTTATTCTAGGAGAAAAAATAAAGCAACTGACTTGAGATACTGAAAAGTGACAAATGTTTATTCCTTAAATGCTCATAAGTGATTTGAAATGTCCCTTTTAATACATTCATTAAGTACTTACTGCTCCAGCGATGATCCAGTGTTTCCTGGCTACAAACTTGGCCACTCTGACAGGCAGATCACACAGCTCAAAGTTTTTCACCATCGTCTGCACACAGAATCGATTGGATAATCAAAAACACGGATGAAACAAGTTTGAAGTGATTGTTTATGTGAAGGAATGACTTGAATGAAGTGATTATATGAATCGATCAAGTGATTTGTGCGAGCAGATAAATGTGTAACTGAGTGATAGTGACCTGTGTCTCATGGTTCCAGACCACCACACCACCGCTGTAGAGGCTGACCACCATCCATGGCTCAGTGGGGTGCAGGTCCACACTCTTCACCCGGTCTGAGCGAGCCGTCAGCTTCCGCTTGATGTCCAACCGCAGAGGCTGTTCACAAAGGGAGAAAGAAGAAGACGCTCAGCAACACCTCCTGACAGTAAAATCACTCAATGACCAGACAATAATTCGTTTTAAATATGTTTTGCAGAGATGTTTTTTTTTTTTAAATGCAGATTGACATTTTGTAGGGTGCAATAACATATTTTATTATACTCCACCTCAGGTTTTGGGGATAGTTATGAGGGGGTGGGGGGTGGTGGGGGTGGGGTGTCTGTTGATACTTCCCATTCCACATTTTATATGCATGCCTGCTCCAGAATGACTGGGTCCTTTCAAGTCTTCTCATGTCAATGAAAACTTGCAGTCTTTTCATTCATCTACTTTTCGTGTGATGACTGCATGTTAAAAGTTTCTCGTAAGTTAATGTAAATACTTGGTAAAAATGTGCTGGTGCTAGTTTCACTCTCTTGCTTTAAAATCTGTTGTAATTTTTGGATATTGGTTTTGCATATGGTTTCTGAATGGATGACTGCTGTAGTTTACATGACGAATGGAGTTGAAGAAGTTACTGTACCGTTCCGCTGACAAAACCAGAAAACATCAAACAACACATAAAGTTATGTCGGATAAATATTTTGCTTGTTTGTTCCGCCTACCATGATTCCACGTCAGTCAGTCCCTGCTAGTCCGTCTGGTAAAGACACCGGCCTCCCTGCTGCCCTCGTCGGGCTTCTCCAGTGGTTCTCAGCGGGGAAAGTTTTATAACCAAGCGACCAAGAATGAAAACAAAGTGACTTCCGGTATTTAATTTCAGGATAAATCTCAAAGCCGACAGTGTGTTAGTGCAAAGGTGCATGGGAGTGCCAATGGTGTGGTTTATGGACAGTATTTACATGTATGGACGTCTATGCGCACTATAGATTTACATTTGATGATGGATAATGGATGCAGGTTGCTGCACAATATGTATTTGAAACTGTAGCTAATATAATTTGTAAGTAGTAAAATCAGTGCTCTCTCAAAGCTGGTATTTTGTGGTGAACACTAGCTTATCTAATAAGTGGTAATAAGCTGTTTTTATTTTAATATCTACATTTTTCAAAATATCCTTTACTTTTACGGTTTTATGGCTGTGGATATAGGCTTTTATTTTGGAGACAAAATCAGCTATTTCCGGTTCATATCTACCTGTCACTTCTCTCATTTGACGCAGCTTTTTCTGGCGACGTGGATCCTCCAGCGCTTCCTGTAGGAGCAGCTCAAGATCCGGCAGAGAAGTGGAACATGTTGTACCTGTGAGTTTCTACTGCACTGTAAAAAAATAAATACGTACAGGCTGTACGCAAACAGCCAGCCACGCTCACTCCTCAGTCTTAATCCCTACAAGTCACTAAACAGATGTAAAAAGATGGATGAATAAGGTCTTTTGGTCTTTTGTCTCATGCAAATGGTCCAGAGAGTTTCAGGTTGAATGAGAATTTATCTAATTTTATTTTGACATTTTTTTTGCAGTGTATTATCAGAAGCTGTTCTCTTTACAGGATATTGTGCAAGCATTCACAATACAATTTCCACATGAGGAAACTGAGAGACATTTCCATGTCTTTTTTTATCATAGAGCAGGTCTAGCTTCTATATTAATACTGTAAAAGTATCAAAACGCTCAGTCCACGGAGAAATGCACGCAGCCTGTATTAAGAAACTGTGGCTTAAAATGAGCCGTCAGGACTTCCTTAACTTTGTGATGTCCCAACAAAACAGTCACCGCCCTCAGCCATGATCCCAGCATGGCCCATCCAGATCCACCATCCACTCACCTACCATTTTTGGTTGTTTTACCTTTATTAACCACATAACACCAAGCGGTCATTCCACTTCACTTAACTAGCAAGCTAGGAGACAGAAAAATGTTGAGGAAACCCTGCATAATCATTGAATGTCAGGAAACCATATCATTGCACAACCTTCCCATGGAGACTAATATTAGAGACCAGTGGCTAAAGTCGATTTTTTCTGAGATACCACGGCAATTTAGTCCCAAATTTGACCATCTTTGGGCTCATTTCATCACTAACCGACCATCGTCATTTGCATTTACCGGTGAGTTTTGCTAAACTACAATATGAGGCTACAATCTGTTTCCTGTGGCAGGCGTCATTCAGAAAACAGAAGAAAGGCTCAGAGACTGACACAGAACGCCCTGTTCCTGCTAGAGCTCCAGAGAGAAGCCGAGATGTAAAACTATATTGTTAACTATAAAAGTGTTAAATGTAGGACTTTTAAAACAAAGGCACAATTAAAGTAGAACAGTGGTATTAAATCAGTTTATTGCAGATCTGGGCGGTTACATTATAAATAGACAGCAACATGCAATACATGACAGACAGTTTGGGGCAGATGAGGTTTGTTTCCATGTTATTATGCCTTCTTAAATACTTGGTGGCAGACTTTGTCGAGCACAGTGATCTCCTGAAAGAGAAGAAAGCAGACCTTTAAACTACGAGTCCAATATGATGCAACGACTGTTTCTTGTAGTTAGATAATAAGGTTGAGCATAAGCCTATGTTTTAGATGATGATGGTGTAACTTTATTGTTATTGCCCAAAGATATGAGACAAATCAGTGTGAACTAAGTGCGGGTTCATCAAGCAAGTGAAGAGACGAAGTGTTTTTTCTTTTTTTTTGAGGTTGCTTTTTGATGTTACTTTGTTGTTTAATGTGCTGATACAGCTGTTACAGCTGTGGTCACGCAGGAAAATCTCATTTGCAGGCAAATATGCAAAAACTTTTACACCTCTGTGTCACGTGTTAACTGATGCGACACGCTCTCTCTCTCTCACCTGGTGTAGCAGGTCTCCCTCGATCCAGTGTTTCCACCCACGATTTTCCTTCTCCCCCTTCTGCACACACACTAGCTTGTCGCCGTCCCAGGTCACCAGTGTCTGTCATATCACCACGCAAACACAGAAACAATGGTCAGTGCATCTGTAGTTGCTTTTTTTTTTATCATGATTACTCCAAATAGAAAAATGTAAAAGGATTCAGAAAATAGTCTCACGTTGACTTTTCGGTTGTCCAGGCCCTTGGTGTGCTCCTCGAACTCCTCTCCCACGGTGAAGTTGACCTCGTAGTTTCTGAAGGTGCTCATTGTCTTTGTTTCAAACTTATCCCCATTTTGGACGATGACTTTTGTCTGATGCAGGTGGGAAGCGATCTTTCTGGTGGCAAAGTCGATATCTGCAAGCCAAAAAAAAAAGAAAAGAAAAAAGAAGAGAGGATTAATGTCGGTTTTATGTAGCCAAGGAAATTTTTTCTCATGCTGGTTCGGTGTGTAGTTTGTACTTTTTGGCTCGCTGCTTCATGATTAAATCCACAGACACACACACACACACACACACACAAACACATATGACACCACAGGCCACTTATTATGATTCCTCTCCTACTGGTCGCCTTGACAGTTTCATTTACCCTTTAAAAATGACCTTGCTCCGAGTCAGAATAGCCCTAAATGAGTTTCTCCACCCTGTTCAGCACTGGGCCCTGCCAAAAGAGAACCACCCACCCTCACCGTTTAGATATTCATATCCCATTTTCCCCAAAGTGAAAATTCAATTTCTTCCCATCACTTTTACAGATATGCCCCCTATATTTACCCAACTAAGTGATATTTTTGACCCATTTCCATAAGGATGTCATTTTCCTATCCATTTGATGGAAATGAGGTGCAGGCGTTCAGGATTTCCGGGACTTTGCCAGAGCTGAGTGTAACGGGGTTGTTGTTTGAATTGCAGATAGAGTCATGAATAATGGAAGTGTTTCTGGGCCTGATCAATGACGCGCCAAAAGGAGAGTGGACTCTTTTTCTTTTTTCTTTTTTTTTTGAAGTGATGACCTGGCCCGCTGCCTGATCCAGGGTCAGAATCTGTCTTCCTTTCCTGCGAATCAGGAGGATGAAAATGCAGAAAGGAGTGAATCAATATTTATTTGGCGTGATAACAGACGGCAGCCGCTCACAGAGTGGAGGTTAACTTGTCCTGACAGCAGCTCAATGAGGAAATGAAGCAGTGCCACAACGTTCCTCTTCCTTTCCCCCCCCCTCTCATTCTTTCTCGCTCTCCCTCTCTCTCCTTCGCCCACACCGCAGCTCTCTCACTCTATCTGTCACACTCATTCCAGATTTCCTGTTCAGGCCTTGCACTCTACTTTAAATGTAACCCTTTAATTGATCCCTGCTTTTAAAGAGGGTTACAAGCCACATCTTCCCCGTCTATGCCATGCAGTGTGAGTCTCACTCACCGAGGGCCTTCATGATGTCCTCGAAGTTCTCGTTGCTGACCATCTCCCAGCGTCCATTGTAGTCTGCAGGCATTGTGACTGGTGTGTGAATGGAGGTAGCAGTTTGCCTTTAGGTTTGTTTATCTAAGTGAGAGACAGTTCAACGCTTCAGCCCTTTATATATACTCTGTCTCTGAGTGTGTGTGTGTGTGTGTGCATGTGCGTGTGAGTGTGTGTAGAGCAAAGGACAGGGTCCGCCTGATAATTCCGTCAAGACAATGTGTGTGTGTGTGTGTGTATGTAATATAAAGTTCAGCCTTAGATGGTGCATTGTGAACACACTGCCCTCTCGCCTACAGTCGTGTGCAGTTTCTGCTTGTCTGTTAAGTGTGTGCACACTCACTTGGATGCACTCAGACTCAAGATTCTCCTGCATGTTTTTTTCCATAGTCATTTCCTCAACTAGCTACAATAGCTTCATCAATTACTCATTCTAATGCAGTAAAGCTGAGGGGAGAGGGAGACGGAGATGAGTGCTTCGTTTCTGGGCTCGCGTTGGGAGGATTCCTCTCTGGTTTCATGTCAGGGAGCAAGGGGAAGAAATTTTGTTGACTGAAATGCAACTCCACCATAGACTGAAATTCAATCCTTATTTCACGGAAGTATTCCAAGTTTCTTGACTTCAACCTCTTTAACAATCACATCAAGATAAGACACTTGCACTTGAATCAGCTGGAGCTACTTTATCAGCAAGAGAGTGCGAGCATGTGTGCACATACAGTATTAACAACCCAGTCTTTGTGCGTGTGTGTGTGTGTGTGTGTGTGTGCGTGTGTGTGTGTGCGTGTGTGTGTGTGTGTGTGCATGTGTGTGCATGTGTGTGTGTGCGTGTGTGTGTGTGTGTGTATGAATGTCTGAGCTGCTCAGTTGTTTGTTTATTCAAAGTTCCTGGTTGGTTTGTATCCATGTCACACTTTTACCACAAAACCACATTTTGTTATCTGTGTCAAATGAGAAATTGATCTTGAATCACCATCTAATACTTCTTTCTCTTCTTTATCTCAAGTGTCACCACGGACTGTTTCTCAACAGCGGCTTCAATCAATACAGTTTGCTCTCTGGATCTCTTTCAGAGGAAATGAAGCGCTTTCAAAGAGCATACAGGAAGAAAAAGAGATGATACAGTCACACCTTATCTTGCCTATCTACACTATGACACTAGTTTGATCTTGTGGTGATGTGGTTGTATGTGGAGGGTCAAAGGTGAGGCAGGCAGACTGTTCAATGGTTTATCAGAACTAATAAAGTGCCTTGATCTAAAGTAACACTTATCTTTTAGCCATAGTCAGTTGAATTGCAGTGTCTCTATCTCATCAATCTGAATACCAAATAATGTGCATACATACATTAAGTGTCCCATAGTAGCATGCTTTTTATCGCCTGCAACTTTGCTGTTTTATCTCACTCTCTGAAATCTCAGCAGCACAAACAAACAAACAAACAAACCCCACTGTGCATTATCTGTCTTGCACCAAATGACAGACGGACAAAGTTGGCGACTAAAGCATTTAGCAGATAAAGCGCTAAACGGAGAGTGAATATTGGACTTACATTCACCAGGTGGACACAGACGTGAGGGTGCAAAGGCAGCTGTATGCTAACACGTTCACCCTAACATCTTTAAAATGTGATGAGGTGTCAGCGTTGTGTTCACAGCTCAAGTGGCGAAAACAATGAAGAAACAAATGAAGGAATGCAGCTTAAAAGCCAAATTTTCATTTGCTACACCTTTATTTTTTTCCCATAGCAAATTAATATACACCTGAAAATGATACGTCTCATAAATCCAGTGCAACACAAAGTGTCATGATGCTGTGATTATACTACATTAGTGCACATCAGTTATAAAGAAGGTCAAAAAAACAAAAATGAGTTAAAGTAGTAGTAGAATAAATAAAGCAGCTGACCCCAGCTACTACCACCTACTCCACAGACATGTTTATATGACACTTCAATCCTTACAATCCCTCTGTAGATAAACTCAAATGTTGATATCTTAATCTCTTTTGTAAACCTTCGCCTCAACTCAACTTCAGGGCGGCATGAACATTTTTTTTTCTTCATTTCACCACACAGGGGCAATGTTGCTGCACGTAACGTCAGAGCTCCTCACAACCAGAGGAGGCACTATCCTGTGCTCTGTGCAAAATAGTACTACATGTTATACTGTGATCAAAGCTAAGATGACACCGAGCCATCTGGCAACCGAGAGGCCCGACTTGGAGGAAATCTGTTCTCTGTGGCTTTTTTGCTTTCGTCAGGTGAATTTGAAGGAATTTTCTGTCTTGTAGGAACAGGTTAAAGACACGAAGTAACTGGTTCACAGTAAACAAGAAACAGAAACGATCCTTTGAATTTGAATTTAATGTCGAGCTTTAATCTTTATATGCTGCTTTTATTGACTTAATACGTCCTGTGTTATGTGTTTTATTGCTTTTATTGTTTTTGTACTTTGTATTGTTATCACTTCAAACCACTTTTTACATTTGTGAATTATTGTTTCTTATATTGTATATTTTTATTGTATTCATGGCGTCCTTGCTCTCAGTGGCACTTCTTGTATAAATAAAGGTTTGTTTGAATGAATGAATGATTTAGAGGATGACAATCCTATAAGGGATTGCACCCGTTTGCACATACATGCTTGCACAGTCTCGTACACTTATGCAAATGCAATTAGGGTAGTTTTAATAATTCATGACAGCAGATTCATTTCTAATTCTGCCTAATTCACACCTAATGGCACATCCTGTGCCCCATAACCTTGGAGGCGTCATACCCACACACACACTGACACTTACACACTCTGCATTAACATTTAGTTTGTAAGTTGATGTGTGTGTTTCAACATTTCTACACACCTTGGCTGCATTTCGCACCTTCCAGCATATCTTGTTTGTGTATGTTGTTTCGCGCAGCATCTCATTTTTAACACGCTTCTCATACTGTGATTGACAGGCTGTGAAGTAATCCTACATTTCTATTTCCTGCGACTCCTCATTTGTCCCCTCGTCCCTCAGAGAGTTGAGTTTCGGTCTATCTCAGCCTAATCTTTTAACAGTAAGATGTTGTGCATTGCATTGTGTGTGCATGATGTGTCACCCTCCGCATATACACTTCCAATATCCTGAGTGATTCAATTCAATTTGGTTCATTAGCGTGCCATTCAAATCGCTACATTACAGAGTCTTTCCATCCCCATGCCCCCCCCCCCATCTCTGCCATCTCTTCCTCCTCCCTGTTGTTTCGAAACATCAAAGGTTAGATTAATCACAACCCTCAGAGGAGACAAATGACTGAGAAATGTCTGCTCTTTGTTATGAAACCTTAGTCATGGATTTCAGCAGAGAGTAGATGTATTTGTAATATATTTTCATCCCACCCATGGACTCTAATAGTGCAGTGTCTTGCTGTGTGCTTTGATGTCCCTGTGAGAATCGAAAGCGCCCCAGTGTTCCCACACGATTGAATGATTTTTGCTTTTATCCTCCTCATGGAAGCCTTTCTGAAAAAAAAAAAGCTCAGCAGTGGTGTTACATGTGTCAGTACAAGATGAAAAGTTGCAATGTTAGATTAGATTGTACATACAGAAGAAATGCATGCCTACACACACACACACACACACACACACCTGCACACTACTGTGTTCGGAGTCACACGTGCACACTAGTGTGGTGTTGGGTTGTTGTGATCACACACTGACGCACTTGTAGGACTTTTAGTAAATAATCACTAGCGCGTATGTCCGTGTGTCCCGCCCTCCATGTCACTTTGTACACATAAACACACACATACTGTGAGGGGGGTGAAAAGGGACATGAAGGATGAGATGCACATACAAACGCTCGTCCTGCAAGTCATTTTTCACACATACACACCTGTGTGTTAGGAGGCTGAGTTGGCGTAATCACAATCATCTATTATTAATTGTCTTTGACTATTTGTTGGCATGTTGTGCTTCTGTTGTCTCTTTTTAGACTGCACATCTGTATATTTTAGATAATTGTAGGATATTATCAATTATGTTGTGTGTGTCTGTTTTGTGTTGTTTTTGCTATTGACTGTTTTAATTACATTATACATGTAAAAGCCCAACTGGGGACAGGGGTCAAGAATGAGTAATAGCTATAAACTCTTTGTGCAACACATTAGTTTCATGCCTTTTGAAACTATGTTAAATTGCATTTTCCCTAACAAATAAATAAACTACAAAAAAAAAACTAAAACTAAAAGTTGTCACGAGAGCGTATGTCCCCTTTCACCTCTCATACACACACACACACACACACACACACACATGCACACACACGCACGCAGAAAATTACATTTTTACACTCAAAAACCTTTCAGACAAAGGGCAAAAGCTCGGGGAAAGAAAGTCCATTTCATGACTATAACTCAAAACAGTGCGCAGTCCTTTGGAGAGAAGAAAATAATAGGCCTCCAGGTTGGGCAGCCTTGATATCAATAGATGATGCTTATTCAGGTGCCACAGACATATTCTCAAAGCAAGGTACCTGTGGAGCCACACTCTGTGTCAAGGTCACCCCGTGTGCAGGTCCTGCCATGAATGCATGCATGCACTATACATGCTTGCCTGCGGTTGTTTGGCTATTTATGCATGCTAAATGCCTCGACTTGCCTGACCATCATCACTCTCCTACACGCTCGCTTTCATCCGACCTATACCAGCCTGGTATCTGAGCCCATTCACTCCCAAGGAGCATAAATCAAATCCCATGTTCCACCTCTGTGTGTGTGTGTGTGTGTGTGTGTGTGTGTCATCCCATCCCCTGAGGGGAAACCTTGCGATCCTAACCTCCACCAATCCAATGTGGTGTTTCCTCACACATCCATCCGCCCCAAAAGGAGCATCCAGATAATCATAGGAAGAAAACATACTGTAAGCTCTCTGCCATCTTTCACTTTTTTTTGGACTTTTTCCCTCAGGAAGTCGGAGCTGGAAAGTAGAGAGGAGAAGAAGGGGATGACAATGCTAAATATTTCATGTTTTCCTCTTGGTAATTCCGTGCAGTCGGAACGAGACCTCGTTTTCCACAGAAACATGAGCAACTCTGGGACTGATTGC